CAAATATGGTGTATATTACAGTGGTACCTTGAGTTTCGAACAGCTCCCAATTCGAACAATTATGTAAGTGCTTTTGTAAGTTTATTTTTGGGGGTCTGAAACGGACTGATCTAATTTACAGTATTCCTTATGGAAACAAATTCATTCGGTAACGGCACTCGAACATCCTTCTGGAATGAATTAAGTTCGTAATTTGAGGTACCACTGTATTATGAAAGACTCTTTGTTAAGAACCATGGAAGATGTTGCTATATTTGCCAGTGTTGCATACACTTGTGATGTTATACTTATTATTATTATATTAAAAAATAAGTCCTAAACCCATGTGGAGTGTGACATTATCTTGTATGTTTGGGATCTTCAGACGATTGGTCTAGTGTCACGTCCACTCATGGGATCTTTTCACTATCCTGAGATAATCAGCAGCAGTCGCATTCTACCTCAGAGAATTAGTATGGTAGTACTAGCCACCTCTCTCCTCCTCCTCCTCCTCCTCCTCCTCTCACACTCATCACTTGATGTATATTAGTGCTCAACTCCAGTACACCAGCACAGTCTTACTGAATCCTAGTGTGGTGATGTGCAGATGTAGTGGTGGTGAGTGAGGGTGTTGCAGGTGTGGTGATGGTGGTGAGTGAGGGTGTTGCAGGTGTGGTGATGGTGGTGAGTGATGGTGTTGCAGGTGTGGTGATGGTGGTAAGAGTGTTGGGTGTGGTGGTAGTGGGGCAATGAGTTGCAGGTGTGGTGATGGTGGTGGTGAGTGTGTGTTGCAGGTGTGGTGATGAGTGAGTGAGGGAGTTCCAGGTGTGATGGTGGTGGAGAGTGAGGGAGTTGCAGGTGCAATGATGGTAGTGAATGAGGGGGTTGCAGGTGTGGTGGTGGGGAGTGAGGGAGTTGCAGGTGTGGTAGTGGTAAATGAGGAAGTCATGGGTGGTGGGGGTGAAGGAGTTGCAGGTTTGGGAGTGGTGAGGGAGATACAGGTTTGGGAGTGGTGAGGGAATTGCAGGTTTGGGAGTGGTGAGGGAGTTGCAGGTTTGGGGGTGGTGAGGGTGTTGCAGATGTGGTGGTGCATAAGTGAGTTGCAGGTGTGGGAGTGGTGAGTGAGGGAGTTGCATATGTGGTGGTGGTGGTGGTGGTGAACAAGTTGCAGGTGTGGTGGTGGTGAGTGAGAGTGGGAGTTGCAGGTGTGGGAATGGTGTAGCCGGACACCAACTGGATACTCTATACAAGAGCAGAACAAGCGGAACAAAACAGAGTGAGTGAACTGTGCTTGTTACTGGTGCTACACATGGCCTCACTCACTGTAAGAAAGTCAGTGTGGGTTGCACCACCGTGGCGAGAGGGTCAGGTGCTGCTCCAGCTCTGTACACACCTGTTCACTTCTTTGATCTCACTCTTTTTTGCCTTGCTGTTCCCTCTTACTCACCTGTGTATCATCACCTAAACTAGTTACAATAGTGCTCTTGATCCTCTTGTCCTTTTTTGGTTCACTCTTCATCAGCTGCCCATCATAATACACATTCACAGTACAGCTACTGCAGAAGCCAACATGCTCTGAGCTTATTTGGTGTGATTGTCCTGTGGGATAGTGAGTGTAGTACAGGTGTAGTGCATTTAATATTCACCAGGTTGTGTTTGTGGAGATGATGTGTGGTTTCCTGTGCACTCAGAGAAGAGTGAGTATGTGAATGTTAACTATGTTTAAGAATGAGTGAGAGTAGTAATGGTGTGGGATGCCCCATGTACTCATTGTAGCAATAGTGTGGGGTGGCATGTGCAGTGAGTGTAGTGATGGTATGGGGTGCTCATTGCACTGTGTAGTGATGATGCTTGGTATTCAAGCAAGGTCAACAGTTGACTCTATAAAGCTACATGCATAATTTGTTGCAGCAAGACATTCAGTGCTGCTCACACTTCATAAGATAAATTTAGTGAATGAAACAGTGTGCACACATGTGCTAGTGTTTTGTGTGCAGAATATCTTGCTGAATGATTTTTGCAACATGAGAAGGTTGCTTGTACTCACTAGTGTTACCTAAAAATATGAAGTAAAGATGAATATGTATTTTTTATTTAGTAATTTGTGCAACACAAACCCAGTTTGTGGAGCTGTGGGATGGAGACATTTCAGGAAAGAATTCTATTTTATCAACATTAAGTCAGTATGGGTCATGCAGCATAAGGAGTATTGGAGAGTCAAGCTTCCCTCCATTAACTGCAGCCCAGTCTCTGATCAGTCAGGCTGTTGGTAACCAAGTAAATTGCATTTAGTACATGATTATAGGTGCTGATTTTTTATGGTATGAATGCAGATATTGACATTGAATTTGAATAAAAGTGCCAGTGCATTGTTAAAGTAGAATGTAGTGTAATGGGCAACATGATTTCTGATAGACACTTGGTGTTGGTATACACTACTGCTTCGAGGACTGAATGAAATATTTACAGTGCTATACTTTGACTCTGGTTTCTTTATAGAAAGTGTCTTGATCCTAATATAGGTATAGGGCTCTTGATCCAAGCAAGCATTTAGGTCTACTGTTCTCTTGGATCAAACCTGAATCCCCTTCCTCATTCTCCAGGTGCTGTATGTCCCTACGTGTTTAGCACTTCTCCATGAATACTGCATAATAAAAATGCTTAAAACTATGTATGGAGTTTGCCTCCACTTCTTCATCCAGGTCACTCCACTTCATGACCACTTTGAAACTGTAATATAGTTCTGATGTTTTATAAATTGGTGTTTTTCCTGAGAACTACCATATTATAAAATATTAACTGTACAGGAATTTTGCCAAAAATTATGTTTTGTTAAATTTGAATGTCAAAGGTGTTCATACCATTGTTTTGTTTCACGGAGCTCTAAACCTGTGTAGGGTCATTGAGTGCAAGGAGTGGTGAAGGCTTAATCCTCCACCCGGTAAGCTGACCATGGTTGAGAATGCATGGGAAAAGTAGTTATTGTTGCACTCCTGAGTATTAGCAGGTAATGGAAGGAACAGTGACCTTGTGCAGTGCATGAGATGGTGGTGGTCAGAAAACTCAAAGATGCTGTCTGATATAAAGCTAAGTTCGGTACTTAAGTATTCATAGCCATGCTGCTGAACAGTTAGGCAATGTTTTAATAGTCATAGGCAGATGATGGTGGTCGTAATGTTTTAGTAACAGTGGAGGTGGGTGTTGATAATGGCAGTGGCAAAGTGGACATTGGTGGTGGTGGTGGTAGTGGTGTAGGTGGGTCATTGTTAAGGTGTTGAATTGGAGGTGTTGGTGGAAGTGGGTGTGTATTGGTGGTGGTAGTGGTGTAGGTGGGTCATTGTTAAGGTGTTGAATTGGAGGTGTTGGTGGAAGTGGGTGTGTTGTTGTTGATAGTTGTGGGGTGAAAGTTGTGTTGCAGCTAGAGAGAAAGGAAGAGTTAGTGGTGATGGTGGCTGTTAAGTATGTGGTAATAGTTGTGGTGGAGTTGGTAGTGTAGTTTTGGACACTTGTGGTTCAGTGTGATGGAGGTGTTAACGAGTGATTACTTTGACTAGCAGTTGCAAATATTTTGGTTGTGGCTGCTCTGTTTGTGTGGGGATTGTGGTTGCTGTGATGGTATGATGATTATAGTTGCTATGATAGCATGATGATTGTGGTTGATATTGTGGTGTGGAGATAGTGGTTGCTGTTATGATGTGGAGGTTGTGGTTGCTATTATGGTGTTAATGATTTTGGATGGTATGGTGATTGTGGTGTTGATTATAGGTATTGTGGTTTATATTTTTTGGTTGTGGTTGCTCATAGTATTGATAGATATTTTGGTTGTTGCTGTTGTGGTGGTGCTTGTGGGAGAATAAATTACTGCAATGTACATAGTTATGATTGTGAAGTGTTAATTGTAGTGGTTGTTGATTCTTGCTGAGTGTCAGCAGCAGCAGTAGCAACAGGCACAGCTTTAGCAGGTACAGCAGTAGGTGCAGCAGCAGGTGCAGCAGCAGGCGCAGCAGCAGGCAGTAGTAGTTACCATAGCAGTAGTGAAGGATGGATTAACAAGGGTTACAACTTTCACTTGTGTCCTCATGATTGGTAGAGCTGCAACACCCCTCCCCTTCACTCCCCACATCCCCCATCCCCCTTCACCTCCACCATCCCCCTTCACATCCCCTTCCCCTGTTCTCTTAACCCTCCATCTCATCGCCACACCTTCACCCTCCCTTCACATGTTTTCATTCTCTGCATATCTTTTATATATTTTGCCTCTCATCTCTTAGATCAACCCCTTCCATTCATTTCTCTTTGCCCTCCCTTCCCTTTTCTTTTGCTCTTCCTTTTCCCTTTGCCCCTCCTTCCCTTTCCATTTGCCCTTCCTTTTGCTCCTCCTTTCCTTTTTCTTTTATACTGTACTTTCCCTTATTCTCTGCCACTCACTTTAGACCATCCTTCCTTTGTCCCCCCCCTTTTCCTTTCTCTTCCCCCTCCCCTTTCTCTTCCTCCTTCACCTGTCCCTTATCCCCCCCTCACCTCTCTCATGCCCTCTCACCTCCCTCTTGCCCCATCACCTCCCTTTTGCTTCCCCTCACCTCTCTTTTTTCCCCCTCACCTCACCTCCCTCTTACCCCCTTACCTCCCTCTTGCCCCCCTCACCTCCCTCTTGCCCCCCTCACCTCCCTCTTGCCCCCCTCACCTCCCTCTTGCCCCCACCTCCTGCCATCTTCCTCTCTGTGGTCTCTGCTTGGTAAATCACACAACTTCCCTCTGTCTCTCGCTTCCCTCCCCTCCAATCTGTTCATCCCTTCCTCTGTCGGTCTGTTTGTCCATCCCTCCTTCCCTCCACAAAATTTGTAAATGACAAAGCTTAGGAAAGAAAGTCAGCCAGTCTGTGTCTCACTGTAGACTGGTGCAGTGATCAGACATGAAACATGGGCTTACCTTTTGATAAATGTAAAGTAAAGCATTGTACAATAAAACAGTTCTTGAAAACAATAGTCAAAATTAATGAAGAAAATGTCCATGGAGTCTTTAGTAGAATTGATTTCAAATAAATTTACTGCTTCAGCAAATGTAAATGAATGCTGAGTTTCATAGCAAAAGACCATGAACTTTAATAATGTTGCCAAGACAGTCTAGTGGTCAGTGCAATCTGGCTAGTTAATGCCGGATTGCAGACTCAAGGTTTGCCCATTCTTTAAAAATAGAAAAAACTGAAATGACATTAGCAACTACAGTATAATGTACTTGTCAAACTTCACCTTGAATATGCTGTTTATCTTTGTTGCCCAAATTACATAAAAGATGTGATAAGCTGAAGAGGGTGAAGAGAAGGTCAACAAATCCAAAACTTAAGATAGTATATTTTTTATTGTTTATGCCAGGGAGGTTCCTTGATGGTTTAGGGGCTCTTGATTTAAGTAATTCTCCCTGTGCTTCAGTTCCTTGAATTGAGCCTGAATGCTTTCCATAATTCTTTTTAAACTTCTGATTGGTAATTACACACACATGCATTATTGCACAGCCCCTGTGCCTATGCTAAGATTCTGACCTTTGTCTACCATATATACAAACTGTTTAGCTGTCTTCTCTTTTCTTATTCCCTTCTATCTTTCACCTTACTTTCAATTCAATTTTTTTTTTTTCTGTTTATATCCATCTCTTCATTTCATTCATGTATGGTCTTCCCTTCATCACACTCTTGTCCCCTCTACTGCACTGCCTTGATGATAACACTGTTTTCCAACCTCTGTCTTCCTCATTTTTTTATTCCTTACCCTCTTGTTTATCGTACTGTATTACATTATGTAAATGTACCTTTTTGTTGTTTATATTTTCTCTTACTAGGTGTTCCTTCATTGTTATAATGACTTAGTGTAGGAAGCAGTACATGTATTTCAGATTTTAGGAAAGCATTGTAAGTGTTTTAAAAAGCAGAGTTGAGCCTTGTAGGAAAAGTACATAAAAGTGAGAACTGTGTGCAAGTGGTAGAGGTGCTGATTTCCCATCATGCGAGAACAGGGATCTTCATCCCACCACTTTGATGGAGCACAGTTCACGTCGACTACAAGTTCTCCTGCAACCACACCTCCAGTCACGACAACTCCTCAGAATCAGTCTTTCTCTCGAAACAAAAGAAAACATACTGTGGTCTTTAAGGTAATGAATTGTTTAGCATTAAGTTATACAAGTTAAATAATTTTCCCACTGAAGTTTGGCAAACATGTAATGATATCTATTGTTTTTTCAGTATTGTGAGGAGATGAATGAGCTTAATGAGGCAGCTAATAACCGACCTCGAAGTGCTTTGATACACTCCATCCAGCAGGAAAACAGACATATTCGACAACTCCAACAGGTAAGTGTTGAAATTTTCAGAAATGTTGAATGGCTTTCGTGGAGCCATTAAGCACTGTGATGAAAGCATAAATGTACTCTGCTAGTGGGTTGTCTAAGTAGAATATGTTTAATTAATTCTCTGATTATTTATAAGATTGGGGTGAATTTTTGTTATTTGTTTTAATTTCTGCTGTATTTTGGTATAAATCTGTCAGTGTAGTGGTTAGTGTTATGGCACTTGTAAGGTAGCTTTGCAGTGGCTGAGATGGGAAAGATTCAGGTTTAACCCTTTCAGTGTCTGTCCCATCATATTACGGCTTTGAAGCCAGTGTCGGTCCCGTAGTACGACGCCATGAGCTCAGCTCACTCACATAAGCTGTGAGCGGTAAATTTGGGCCTAGATATGAGAGAATGGGGCTATGCAGTAAGTGTGCACCATATAAAAATCCTGTAGCACGCAGTGCTAATGGGAAAAAAAAACTGCGACCGGTATATTTTTGTATGGTTTTAATGGTTGTATTCTCAGTTTCTTGGTCTCATTTGGTAGAATGGGAAATATATATGACAGAAAAAGGGATGATTTTGATTGGTTTCAGGACTGAAAGTAGCTTGAAATTGAGCTCAAAGTAGCAGAAATGTTTGATTTTTGCTTATACATATTCCAGAGTACACGAATGACGTCACTTGTCCAATACACATCCAACTTGCCAGTCTAATACGTTTTTAGGAATGCACTGACATTATTTATACACTTATTACAATAATGCAGTAGTCTGAATAATAGTAAATGTTCTATTTTTTGTGTGAATAAAAATTCAAAATGGAAAGCAAGCGTAATATAAGAGGGGCCTGGAGATGTGACTGAGGAACAGAGAAAATGTGTTTCTAGTGCCGGGAATGTCTATGTTGTTTATTCTGGACCCTATTTTTAAATTGAAATTTTTTTTAATTTTGTGTGAAATTGGCCAAATTACTGATATCTGATTACTTTATTGGGTAGTTGATGTAGGTAAATGGGTGGTTTCTTGTACTCAGTTGATAGAATAGAAGGAATGCTAGTGAAATAGCTATGAGTTTGCTCAACTGGAATAATGGAATTGGCCAAAAATAGGGTGCAAAGTAGGCAAAATCGCTCGTGCATAAATATCGCCAAGCGTAACTCTGTAAGTTTTCCATCAAATTTTGTACTTTTGGTTTCATTACCCTCAGGAAAAGATTCTCTATCATCTCATAATAAAAAACAGCAACTTTGCAGTGTTTTTTCGTATGTTTTTTATAGTTGTATTTGCGATTTCTTGGTCTCATTTGATAGAATGGAAGACATATTACAGAAATAGAGATAATTTTCATTGGTTTTAGCACTGGAAATGGCTTGAAACTGAGCTCAAAGTAGCGGAAATGTTAAATTTTTGCCGATATTCAAGAGTAAACAAACGACCTCACACGTCTAATACACGTCAGCTGGTGGGTCTAATATACATTCACAAATATGGTGATGATATTTATACCATTATTACAGTATTGCATAACAGTAAATCTTCTATTTTTTGGTGTAAATAAAAATTCATTATGTGAATAAAAAATCAAAATGGAATTTATTTGTAAAGCCTCAAAACATAACTAATGAACAGAGGAAATGTTAGTTAAGTGCCAGGAATGCCTACATTGTTTATTCTGGACCCTATTTTGAAATTGGAATATTTTGAACTTTGTGTTAAATTGGCCAAATTAACAATTTCCGATCACTTTATTTTGTAGTTGAAACAGTTGACTTGGCGATTTCTTGTGCTCAATCGATAGAATAGAAGTAATACTAGTGAAATAGCTAAGAATTTGGTTGATTGGAATAATGTAATTGGCCTAAAATGGGAGTCAAAGTCGGCAAAATCGCCGATTCGTAAACATCGCTGACACATCAAAATTCGCGAGAGCATAATTTCGTCAATTTTCCACCAAATTTCGTACTTTTTGTTTTATTACTTTCACAAAAAGATTCTCTATGATTTCATAAGAAAAAATAACAAATTTTTTTTTTGAAAATTCTTGGACACTGGTGCGTGACTCCAGATTTGGGCCTTGGACCCTGAAAGGGTTAATTGTTAATTTTGCTACCCTGACAGCAAGTTTGAGAGCAGGTGGGTCATGACCCTGAAAGTGTTAACTCTCAATATGGCTGAGACTGTAACTTGAGAATAATTTAAGTCTGACACAAAAATTAATACAGTACCTCAGAATGATTGTTGCATTGTAGTCACATTCAGTCAGTGAAAAATATACACCCATTTATTTATTTATTTATTTAGAAATTTTAGCATACATACAGAGGTACAAAAAAAATACAGGTAAGAGCAGCATGCCAAAGCCACTTATATGCATAGCATTACGGGCTGGCTTAAAATTAACTTAAGATTAACTAAGCAATGATGAAATCAGTGATAAGACATTATTGTAAACAGATAACTATAAAGCACAAATGAGTATTACAAAGACAGGTCATATGGTTGCATGCATTGCTCTTCATTCAGTAGAATGGAGTACAGTGGACCCCCGCATAACGATTACCTCCGAATGCAACCAATTATGTAAGTGTATTTATGTAAGTGCGTTTGTACGTGTATGTTTGGGGGTCTGAAATGGACTAATCTACTTCACAATATTCCTTATGGGAATAAATTCGGTCAGTACTGGCACCTGAACATACTTATGGAGTGAAAAAATATCGTTAACCGGGGGTCCACTGTATTCTGTTAGGTAGTGTATTTAAAAAAATAACAAAGTTAGATTGGGTCCTAGGTTTAACATTTATGTGATATAATTGTGAGTAACATTTTGGATATACAATTTATAAGGTTCAGTTATTCAGTATTTATTTGGTTTTGAGTGAGTAAGTGAACTTTGAGAAGAGACTTGAATTTATAGACAGGTAGTGTTTCTTTTATATTTACAGGTAATGAATTCCAGATTTTAGGGCCTTTTATGTGCATTGAGTTTTCACATAGCGTGAGATGGACACGAGGAACATCAAAGAGTGATCTGTGCCTTGTGTTATGGTCATGTGTTCTGTTGAGGTTGGCAAGGAGATGTTTGAGGGGAGGGTTAATATCAGAGTTAAGTGTTCTATGTATGTAATAAGTGCAATAATAAGTATGGATGTTTTGTATGGTGAGTAGGTTGAGTGTTTTGAATATTGGTGGAGTGTGGTGCCTGTAGTGGGAATTTGTTATCATTCTAACTGCAGCCTTTTGTTGGGTAATTAGTGGTCTGAGATGGTTAATTGTTGTTGAGCCCCATGCCCCAAGATTGAGTGCAGGAGAGCTTGCAGGCAGCATTATTAAGCTTCTCCTATAACCCCAAGTTATTAGTCTCATAGCATACTGATCCAGGTCCAAGACTTGTGTGCTGCTATTTACAGTGTTGTTATTATTAACATAAGTGTTAGCATTGTAAGTCAGGGACCAACTTAAAATAATTATTACCATACTGTATCTGCTGAGTTGTACAACATTTTTAGATAATTGTAAATATATTTTATAGGATTGTTTATGTTTCTGTTGAAGTATATCTGCATCTTGTATACAAGGAAAAGCTCATTGAATTTTTTCTTTCAGGAAAACAAAGAGTTGCGCCTAGCACTTGAAGAACATCAAAATGTAATGGAATTGATAATGTCTAAATACCGACAGCAAGTTGCTAAGCTGGTCACAGTCAACTCAAAGCAAACACAGCCCAATACTCAGGAGCAAGCCAAGGCAAGTGTATTGTCGTCACTGAGTAGATTAATTATTCATCGTAAATGTTTACAGACATAAAGAGATGTTCTACCTCAGCTCAGTTCAAAGTGTTGCCCTAATATGTACTCATAATTGTTTTATTGGAAAGTTAATTTATCAATGTTATCCCAACAAGGCAGGGTGCCCAGATGAGGAAAACTCATTATTATTTGTACCCTAGCTCTTTTAATGAGCACAGACATCATTTTCTGATATAATAATGACCCACCACCAAACTGAAATATACTCTCATTATTTACAAAGTGCAGGTAATGTCGCTTCTGCTTCTTCAGCCCAAATCAGCTAATCAGGAGTAAAACATAGACACACACGTGTAGGAGCTGCATTCAAATAGCTTCATATATCTGATGATATACTTATTAGAGTAAACTCAGTGTGTGTAGTAAAGTATAGTAGGTCATCCAACAAAATGGAGTGATCAGCAGTGTACTTTCTCAAAGAATCTGAAAACTTTTACAGTTGTAAGGTTACAGCATGTTAGACCCTCAGGGCCAGTTTATACCAAAAACCTATTTTCTCCAAATGTATTTGCATTTTATAAAAAAGATGAAGTAAAGAATTTACACTAAAGTCAGTAGAAGTCTAAATGGAATACACTTAGTGAAAATCCTGCCCAATGAGATATCTTAAATGGGCTGTTAACAAATAACCCTTTTACTGTTTCTTATGTAGTCCTACATTATTGATGTCAGCGTCACTCACGAAGATCTACGTTTTGAGCTCATCTCCCTCAGACAAGCTGGGAGTGGTAAATTTTGGCCTAGACATGAGAAAATGGGTCTGTGCAGTTAGTGTGCATAATATAAAAAAAAATTCTGCCCCCACAAGATGCATGTTAGGAAAAGCAACCTCTGATCTTGTGTTTTGTTTAAAATAGTAAGATTGAATTACGTACTTTATAGGATGGTTTTTATGGTATCAAACTACTAAAATAGAGATGATTTTAGTTTGTTCCAGGACTGCAAGTAGTTTGAAACTGGACATATGGTAGTGTAAATATTAAATTTTTGATGATTTTCCTAGGGATGGGTAAGACCCCACTTCGACTGTTTTATGGGTTTTTATTACGTTTACTTTAATTATGGGGATGATCAAAACCATGACTAATCATTTCTGGTTATAATTTATTATCGAAGATATAGAATAAAACTCCAGTTATTTGTGTGGTGAAGTAAAATTTCAGGGCAAGTGTAATACAGGAGAAGCCTGAGGACATGATTATTGAACAAAAGAAATGTTCATTTAGTGGCTTGAATGTACAGGATGGCTGCACTTATATGGTAGGTTAGGTTCCAGGCTACCACTGTAAACCGAAAATCGCCGTAAAGTGAATCGCCCTTTTTCACTTTTAAATGCATATAAATGTCTGATAGCATGTTTACACTATCATGTATTAAGTTAGAACTAAGTATAAAAAACAGTAAAGAAGTAAAATGCACATACAGTATGCTCACTATTTTAAAGTATCTGTAGTCTTAATGTAAGGTGATAAGTGAGTAGTATTTATTGTAGGAAGTCAGATGTGGTAGCCCACCCAGCTACCACACCTCACAATTTATGTTTTTTGTTTTACTATGATTGTATATACATATTTTCTTTATATGATATTTAGCGTATTTCTTATATAATTTAAATAAAATTAAAGCGCCTCAGAGCGATTACTATTATCATGCTTTTTACCACTGACATGCCTTTTTCACTAAGCTTAAAGATGGATTAACGAAAATGTCTATAATATCGTAATTTATGACATTTAAAGCCAGAGCTGCTGCTGCTATTTTTATTATTATTATTATTATTATTATTATTATTATTATTATTATTATTATTATTACAGTGGACCCCCGGTTAACGATTTTAATCCGTGCAAGAGGGGTAATTGTTATGCGAAATAATCGCTATGTGAATGAATTTTCCCCATAAGAAATAATGGAAATCAAATTAATCCGTGCAAGACACCCAAAAGTATGAAAAAAAAAATTTTACCACATGAAATATACATTTTCCCACACACAAAGAGAAGGATACATGCACAATAGTAGAGTAGTACATGCACAGTATATATTGTGCATGTACTAGTCTACTAAATGAAGAATAAATGACACTTACCTTTATTGAAGATGCAGCAATGACTGATGAGACACTGTGTCCTGGGAGTGCCTTTTCCTCCTGAGTACTGTAGGTCCTGTTTGGCATTTTCTTCCAGAACAGGCCTTATCACACTGTGTATGCCACTACGATTCTTAAATCTCTCAAACCAACCTTTGCTGGCTTTAAATTCACCAATATGAGCACTAGTTTCCAGGCATTTTTCCCTGTTCACCTGGGTGTTAGTCGACTTGTGTGGGTTGCATCCTGGGAGACAAGATTAAGGACCCCAATGGAAATAAGTTAGACAGTCTTCAATGACACTGACTTTTTTGGGTTATCCTGGGTGGCAAATCCTCTGGGGTTAATTGTTTCTTGGTATTCTCAATAAGCCACACCAACAACGGTGCTACAGCAGCAGCAGCAGCTGACAGTGCAGCAGCAGCAGCAGCTGACAGTGCAGCAGCAGCAGCAGCTGTACCACCAATAGTAGCGATGGTTGATTGGGGTTTATTATACAACCTGGCCAGCTCGGAGACATGCACTCCACTTTCATACTTATCAATGATCTTTTTCTTCATCTCTATTGTAATTCTCACCCTTATTGCTGTAGGGTTGGCACTAGAAGCTTTCTTGGGGCCCATGGTCACTTATTTTCCAGAAAAAGCACCGAAAACACTGTAATAATACGAAATATTCCGATTGTATGCTTGGATGTTACCGTGGAGGCTGGCTGGTAAACAATGCCACCGGCGGAACATGTGAGCGTGGCTCAGGCCGCACATTGGACGCGTCTCGGACGAAAATCGGTAAGCGGGTTTTTAAGCGGTATGTGAGGCAAAATTTTTGCAATTAAAGTAAGCGGTATGCGAAATAATCGCTGTGTGATGCCATCGTTATGCGGGGGTCCACTGTATTATTGTTGTTGTTATTTCAAGGATTATGTGGAGTAAAACAAAGGTTGGAGAGAGAGATTTTGGGAAATGTTGAGTGAATGCGTGGGGAGTTTTGAACCAAGTGTGAGAGTAATGGTGGTTGGGGATTTCAATGCTAAAGTGGGCAAAAATGTTGTGGAGGAAGGAGTAGGTAAATTTGGGGTGCCAGGGATAAATGAAAATTGGGAGCCTTTAATTGAGCTATGTGTAGAAAGAGGTTTGGTAATAAGTAATACATATTTTATGAAGAAGAGGATAAATAAGTATACAAGGTATGATATAGCACGTAATGAAAGTAGTTTGTTAGATTATGTATTGGTGGATAAAGCGTTGATGGGCAGGCTCCAGGATGTACACGTTTATAGAGGGGCAACTGATGTATCGGATCATTATTTAGTTGTAGCAACAGTTAAAGTAAGAGGTATATGGGAAAAGAGGAAAATGGCAACAACAAGTAAGAGGGAGGTGAAAGTGTATAAACTAAGGGAGGAGGAAGTTCGGGTGAGATATAAGCAACTATTGGCAGAAAGGTGGGCTGGTGCAAGTATGAGTAGTGGGGGGGGGGGGGGTTTGAAGAGGGTTGGAATAGTTTTAAAAATGCAGTATTAGAATGTGCGGCAGAAGTTTGTGGTTATAGGAGGGTGGGTGCAGGAGGAAAGAGGAGTGATTGGTGGAATAATGAAGTAAAGGGTGTGATAAAAGAGAAGAAGGTAGCTTATGAGAGGTTTTTACAAGCAGAAGTGTTATAAGAAGAGTAGAGTATATGGAGAGTAAAAGAAAGGTGAAGAGAGTGGTGAGAGAGTGCAAAAGGAGAGCAAATGATAGAGTGGAAGAGGGACTGTCAAGAAATTTTAATGAAAATAAGAAAAAGATTTGGAGTGAGTTAAACAAGTTAAGAAAGCCTAGGGAACGAATGGATTTGTCAGTTAAAAACAGAGTAGGAGAGTTAGTAGATGAGGAGATGAGGGTATTGGGTAGATGGCGAGAATATTTTGAGGAACTTTTAAATGTTGACGAAGAAAGGGAGGCGGTAATTTCATGCACTGGCCAGGGAGGTATACTATCTTTTAGGAGTGAAGAAGTCAGGATGTGAGTGTGGGGGAGGTGCGTGAGGCATTACGTAGAATGAAGGGGTAAAGCAGCTGGAACTGATGGGATCATGACAGAAATGTTAAAAGCAGGGGGGGATATAGTGTTGGAGTGGTTGGTATTTTTGTTTAATAAATGTATGAAAGAGGGGAAGGTACCTAGGGATTGGCGGAGAGCATGTATAGTCCCTTTATATAAAGGGAAGGGGGACAAAAGAGATTGTAAAAATTATAGAGGAATAAGTTTACTGAGCATACCATGAAAAGTGTACGGTAGGGTTATAATTTAAAGAATTAGAGGTAAGACAGAATGTAGGATTGTGGATGAGCAGGGAGGCTTCAGAGTGGGTAAGGGATGTGTAGATCAAGTGTTTACATTGAAGCATATATGTGAACAGTATTTAGATAAAGGTAGGGAATTTTTTATTGCATTTATAGATTTAGAAAAGGCATATGATAGAGTGGATAGAGGAGCAATGTGGCAGATGTTGCAAGTATATGGAATAGGTGATAAGTTACTAAATGATGTAAAGAGTTTTTATGAGGATAGTGAGGCTCAGGTTAGGGTGTGTAGAAGAGAGGAAGACTACTTCCCAGTAAAAGTAGGTCTTAGACAGGGATGTGTAATGTCACCATGGTTGTTTAATATATTTATAGATGGGATTGTAAAAGAAGTAAATGCTAGGGTGTTCGGGAGAGGGGTGGGATTAAATTATGGGGAATCAAATACAAAATGGGAATTGATACAGTTGCTTTTTGCTGATGATACCGTGCTTATGGGAGATTCTAAAGAAAAATTGCAAAGGTTAGTTGTTGAGTTTGGGAGTGTGTGTAAAGGTAGAAAGTT